ATAGTATGGTTTTAGGACTAATGTGGGGTGGAATCATGGCAACGATTGTCTGTACAGTGTATACACAGCACAAACGCACACATGTGATGATATTTTTGAGCAAACCTCAATTGTCAACAACTTAAAATCAGTCAGAACTGAATTATTTCAGACATGGGGTCATTTTCATTCCTGAAGGCAGGGGATTTCCTTGGTCAGGTTCGTCGTCCAGATTCCATTCTTTTCCAAATTCTTGCGTGTATGAAAACCGACACAAGAGAGAAAAGCCAGAGCAAAGGGGTTTAATGGGATGTTTATGGCACTACTGTCATAATGACCCATGATGGATCAATTACTTCTTAAACTGTCATATCCTCAAACTACAATAACAGAGGAAACTGAGTCAAGCACAAATGAGACACAAGACGAGCTGGTAAGTCTTTGTTACTCAGATTTAAACTATGACAGATGCTGACAATTAATTTGAGAGGAGAAGCCTCAAATATGACACTGAATTCCCAGAGCCTGAGAAACCGCAGTCACTGAAGAACACACACATACAGATGTATAGACCCTCACACACTCATGCATGATGTATACCACACATCGAAGGAAACACACAAAGCTGTTGTCCCTCGGGGAGGGTGATGCTCTCCTCAAACATTCATTCACAAATTGTCTTCCTGCGGACTACACAACCACAGATTGTCTGCAGCAGATCCTGGAACAGTTTAGTAGTTTTTTTTACAGAAAAATGTGAAATTGAAAGCAGTTGGGATTCCCACAGTTGCTACGCGATTTGGAGAAACCACTAGGATGTCAGTGTGAATTATAGACTAAGCCAAACTTACATCATCCAGACATCAGAGAAACATGCCTAATATCCTCCTCACATTAAAATCCATCATACTGCACCGATACTGGTTTCACTAAATGTTTTCTTATTTACTAGTTACTCTCGTGTTATTAAGTGTTAAGTCACTCGAAAACATTTTCACACACACTCATGAATACAGAAATGCTTCATAATAATTGTATGAAAGTTGCAATTTCATGTTGACAGTTTCACATTGTCGTCAGCTCTGACTGTTTGGATAACGAAAGCAGATATGTGTAAGAGTTCAGAAGAGTTTAAAAAAGAAACTGTTCCTCACAAGAATACTTAAGTTTCATAAGGAAGGCCCAGGAGACCTTGGCTTCAAGAAATGTAAGGCATGTGATGATGAAATAGTGTAGGTCTATGTCTGGCGCAGTACAACTCAGCAGCAAAGCGCAGCACGTTTCAGCATAGCTCACTTCGATCTGCTTCAGTTCAACATGCAGCTCTGTTTGCTTTGGTGCAGATGGATTCAGTTTGGTTTGGCCATGCAGACTGATGTCAATGTGGTTCTGTGCTGTCAATGCGGAACATAAAGAGAGGAAACCCTTGTTTCTGCTGTGGCCAAGTTACAAGCCAACAGTCACACACACAAACAAACATAAACAAATCCAGACATATAATAAACTGATGGGTTTCTGTGGAGACCAAACCATGCAATCACAATGTAGTCCAAACATCACCTGAGTACCTCAAATGAAACCTCTCTGAAGAATACATTTTGACAAAGTTGGTCTTTGGTCCAATTGCATAATGTGACCTCTGCTATAAAACTACTATACACTAAGCTTACGATTAAACTGGCAAAAATAAATGACAAAAGTTTCCCACACATTCTCACGTATAAGGGCAGCAGTCAGAAGATTCAGTCGAGAGTAGCTGCACTTTTTGCTGTATGGCAATCACTGTGACCACAAGTGACAAATGCTAGGAAACTGGCAGTAAAATGAGTCATTTATGTCAGTAAATCAAAAATTTGCTAATCCATAGTAAGGCTAAGTAATACTACTAACAAAACTCCTGTATGTGCTGATTTTACCAAGGTTGCGTTTTATTGCATATTTCATTTTTAGGAGAAAGAATGTGATATTTCTTCTTGCTTTATGTACCAGTTGGTTTTTGTCATGTTTTTTTTCCAGGAAGATCTGTATCAGTGTTATCAACATGCTGAACTCCAATACTAAATCATAATACAATAGGGCAATGTGTAAAGTGTATTCCATTTTATTCTATTATTATACTATATTCGTACTGTATGTTATGATGATGTTAATAAAAATGTTTGTAAGCCCACTTTGTCTCTTTTTTGTACAATTAATTCAAGATGTGACCCTGTGTGAGGAGGCAGTCTACCAGTCACTGTCCTCGCTGCGACTGTCCTCGGTGCCCCTGGAGCGGCTGTTGGAGAGCCTTCCCGGCCGCAGGGTGGATCGTAAGAGCGTGGAGCGGCTGAAGAAGGCCTGCTCTCCTCAGCAGCAGGTCCTCCAGCTGCTACGACTGTGGAGGGAGCAGAACAAAGACCAGGACAAGCTGTACGGCATTATACAAGGTACAAACTAAATCTGAACTTTAAGTGTGTTTTATCCGGGACTAATGCAGCATTTCAGTATTAAGGTTTGCACCCTGTCCCTCTAGGTGTGAACCACTGTGAAAGGAAAGTCTCCCGCTGCAACAGCCTAAAAAACCTGACTCTAGATGACCTTCTGAGGATCACCAACAGCCTGCCAGGGGTTAAAGTTCAGCAGGAGGATGTCCGAGCCGTGGTCTCTACCTGCTTGCCCAGGCAGTACATCCTGCAGCTTCTTCACCTCTGGAAGTCATCAAACTATGAACTGGATCTAGCCAAAGGTCTGTCTCACAGTTTGAAGGTGATGCGCAGCCAGGGGGCACCACGGTATCTGCTGAAAGGCCTGAAGAAGATCAGCCGCATCATAGGAACCACCTCAGCACACAAGATGTATGAGAAGATGTTTGTTAGTATGCTTCAGGATGAGTCGTGTTTTAAGGCTTATAAGCCATTAAATGAATAGGGAAATTGGGAGGTAGAAACAGGAACATATGCCATCTAAAGGATACACAGACACTAATGCATTGTGAGATAGGGAGCACACATAAAAAGACACATACTTATTGAGCAGGGGGATAAATGTATGTGAAACAGACATGGGTCATGTGATAATGTCAGGTCTTTAAGATATCACCAAATGATGTCAAGCTATGCATTGTACCTAGAGGTATTTTGTCTAACTGTAACGTAAAGTCAAGATAGGAAGGTAAATTGTTCTTTACCTCTTGGATTTTCTATCAAAACCCTATACCAAAATAAGGACATTTTGATTATATGAGGTAACAAGGGATGCTAATAAATTCCCCCTCAGTCTACAGTATCTGTCTGCAGTGAGGAATCTAATAAGCCTTAAAAGGAAAATTAAAAAAAAAATCACACATCTGTGTACTCCAGGTAAACTGAAACAAAAAATATAAAACATGTTTCCTGGGAACGTTTTGACCAGAGTCTGTGAAAAATGAAAAACTATTTAAGATGTAAATAGCACACTATTTTATGGAAGATAGGCTGGCAGATGTTGTGTTTTTATTATTATTGCTTTCTCGGTGATTGAGAGGAAGGATTAGGTTTCATAATGAAATACATGTATTTTCTACAGTTTTCCTTTGTTTGTTGGTTTTTTCTGGACTGCTGGCAAGTAAAGCTCATCTAATTTTTTTTAAATTGTCAGCTTTATGAATGTACAAAGGAGTGCAATGTGTTTTCTATTTAAAAAAATAATTTTACTTTCTGAATATGTAAAGGCTTGTTTTTATTACTTTATCAGAAATACTGGATTCCAAATGCTGCAAGTTCATGAAGTGATATTTGTTTTATATTTTGTTTTATCACTTTTATATTATGAAATGTATGGTCTTTATTGTATATATGCCTGACTGGTCCTCTTTAAGCTCGTGTAACTTTGTGAACACTAATGTCAAATGATCTGATTAAAATCAGTTTGTTAAAATGTGTTGTTTCTTCATAAATAATCCACCGGCAGACAGAAAAGATTAACGGTTGACTTCTGCTGTGATTAGAAAACTCAACTCTGTATTCGTGTTTAAAACAACATCAGCCAATAGGAACCTGGCTGACTACGACCAGTTACTGGCCAGGAGCTAATAAATCTTTGTCCACTTTACTAAACACTTCCACATGTAACCAGCCACCACTGCCTGAAAAAGTTTTAAAAAGCTTATTTTTTGCTCTGATTACTATAGATGGGATACTAAATCATTGATCTGGATCAGAGGATATTTTATACTCCTCATGATGTCACAAGTAACAAGTTATAATATGTAAGTTTTGAATCAATTAAGAAACTGTTCATGGATAAAATAATGTGACAGTGATAACCCAATCATTTAAAATCCTGACAAATTATGATACTTGAATACATGAATGCAAAAAAAATGATTTGCAACATTGATCTAACACACCCAGAGATATAATCTAATAAATTTTTACAGTTGTAAACTTTATTCCATGCTGCTGGCACAGTAGATCTGTAGTCCTAATTGTGTTACAAAGTTGTGTAGCCCAAGGCATCTGTGGCTGAGTTATGTTAGCATAGTAAGCACATGCTAACCTGTCATTTCAGGTAATTTCAGTATGGACACTGCCATCATTCACATGTTGTTACTAAACATAATGACTCAATAAATTCATTAATATATTCAATTCAAATTCATTTATTGGTTATATGCTACCTCTCTTAACCACATGTGCATGAGCTTCTATCCATACTACTTGCTGGACATTGGTCAAAACTGCCAAAAAGGAAGTAAATGCTTTCAATGGACTGAACCATTTTGAGTACAGAAGTGGGTTTTCATTGTTTAAGGAAAGAGTCAATATTCATTATATATATATATATATATAAACGATCTATGTTTCTGTGTTACACAACATGTGTTCTGTTACAATACTAACTGAAATGTTTTGGTTCTTGTTGTTTTAACATAGAAGTAAATTATTAAGTTATTTGATTGTCTTAATTGACTGTGCACTAACTTTGTTAGTTTGTTTGTCTGTAGGAGGAGCCTCCTGTTTGAAAGCAAGTGGTCTTAGCTCCTCAAGGGTAGTTGGGTTAGGATGACCATCAGCCACTATGTCTGTGGAATCCAGTCTAGTCACAGTGCCTGCAATGTTTCTGAACGTCAAGCTACTACAGATGGAAAGAGACAAAAGACAGGAGACAGAGGCTTCACAACAGGAACAGAAGTTCAGTGTCTTGTCCCATCAGCTCACACAGTTCCAGTTGGACATGGAAGACACCAGAGCGAGTCGACCACTTCCACAGGATCAGAGAGTGCCAGCTGGAGACCCTAAGTTACTAAGGTTAGTAGACAATGAAAGAAAGAAAGAAAAGAAGAAAGAAAGAAAGAAAGAAAGACTTCATTGATTATTGAACAAGTTCAACTAGAAAAAGAACAAGATATAAAGAAAAAAATAGAATTAGGGTTGGATGTACACTATATACAGTTTTTTTTAATCCAGATGTGAATTAAATTAAAATGATCTTTTATTATCTTATATTTGAGACTGGCAGATGTCTACAACTTCCTGTGGAAAGAGTAGGCCTGTCTGTCTAAATCCACTGTTGTATTCCAACCTTTTGTAGCCATGAGCTTGTCAGAAACAAATGCCTATTGGTTCGGACCACCTTACCAGCGTGTAAAAAAATTAAACAGATTTTACAGGTATAACGATAGTATTTTATAAAAGTTATACCAAAAACTAGATAAAATGAATTAAGAACCCATAGCCGCTGTAGCAAGGATTCAGCCTTGGTACTTGGGGTGCCAGCTCTACCATGTGAGCTATTAGGGAGCCCCCTTGCCAAAGGTTTTTGTTCTGCGCTTTGGAACTATTAGCAGGCTCGTGCCAGAGGATCTGAAGGGCCGCACAGACCTGTTGTTGGTTGTCTTCTCTTTGAAGTATAACGCAGTTTCTTCACATTTTTGACTAAAACGATTGCTATGGTCTGTAGCAGGGTTATTGAGGCAGTCCAAAGTACTCTTTGGTTATTCACATTAAAATTGATTAGGTTAGAAAAGTAAAATGGCCTGGCCATCCAAATTGCTTTATTGTACATTTTTAAATTTTTCTTTTAAAATCTCTTTATGTTCTTGTAACTTAGTTTTGCCCCGTTTGAGCTCTTCAATCCGACAGTCTCTCTTTAGTTTAGTGGTTTCATGATTCTTTCACCGCATGTTCCTCTTCGTAGTTATTTTCTTAATTTTAAGTGGTGCAACAGCGTCAAGTGCTGTAGCCAACTTTTAATTAAAAGCATTGAGGAGACAGTCAGCCGAAGAGGGAGTAGATGTAATTTGGTTTCTGGAGATGAGATGTGTTACGAAATTTGAGGTCACTTCAGGAGTAAGACAGTGTTTTTTAACCACTTGCCTTGTGGGGATTGGCGTAGTATAATGAAAGATATGCCATTAAAAATACACAGTGGTGGTCTGAGAGAGTCAAGTCAACAACAGAAAAAAACTCTTAAACATGCTGTATAAAATTCATACATTCTAATAAATTTAAAAAGTCGTAATATCTTATTATTGACATGTATATTATATCATATTAACTCAGCCAAAAAAGTGGAAAGACTGTTTTAGTGGTCTGTAGATCGCTACTGTTAATAGTGGTGGCTGACAGTTCAGGGTTACTGCAATATATTTAAAAGAAGAAAATGATGTCAAAAGAGCAGATGTACAAGAAAAGGGCACATCCATCTCTGTACTGTCAGACACCGATTGCACTCAGGCTCTTGCACAGGCCAAATTCATTCCCAGAGAGATGTGAAATTTGGGTTAGACAGGTTGCAAGTTGTTTGTGTACATGGTCATTCCTCACATGTACCAGCCGTTGAGGTCTACACGGAAGTACACAGTCAACCATACCTTATGAGAGAGGAAGTAGTTGCCCTGTGGAGTTGCTTCTTCAGTCAGCTCAACAGCCCGAACAATAAGCTGAGGCTAGTTCAGCATGATTTTTCTTTTCCTTACAACCTTTTGCTCCAGCAAAAAATACAAATATATTTTGTGGTAGAAAATGGTCTCCTGTACAGATTGAGGTTAACAACTTGTTCTCCCTGAAGTGTCAAGGGGTGATGTGATGAATGTGGGCCATACCATCCCATGGACAGGTCATTTAGGCTTCATGAAGGCTTATCTACCAGATGTGCCTGTGGACCTCTGGTAGCCTGCAAGTAGCCTATGACGTGCCCACAGAGGTTGTTCTGTAATCTCAATCTTAATCTTACATTTTTTTACTCGTTACACTTACAATTAAGTGTACAAATGAGACCCCTGCTCTATATTGTCAATGTTTATGTGATAGGACAATTAGAATAATGATGTCTTTGATTTAAAAATTTTGTTGTTTTTACATTTTGTTGTTGGTGACTGATGGATTTTCTTATGTTCTTCTGAAAAGTTTTATACATTATTCTTTTTTATTTTTTGTGTTTATTCATTTTTATATATACTTTTTTTATACAACCTAACCAAAACCAGCATGAACTGGCCTTGGTGTTATGTAAATTACAATTAAAACGTACACTGGGTGAAGTTTCCATAGCCTCTGCGTGTTCAGCACTAGAACACACCCCACCCGTGTCTTCTGTAGAAACAGAAGAGGAAATGAGAGACCTGTAGATACATGTTTGACTCATAAGGATAAAACAATTCATCATAACCAGCATGCATTGTGACATTATTCTGAGCATGCCATTCAGTGAGTCAGTGATTCACTAACACATCGTTCAAAGACAAAAGCTGACTTATTGGCACATGACCCGTATTTTTTGCCGTTTCACAACCATATTTCTGGTTTTAATCACCCATTGTAACACAATCATGACCTGCACGTTTATGCAAATAACAGTTATCGGAGCTTCCGTGGAAATTTTAGAATTAGGTCTTCTTCAAGCTATTTCCCTAAATGAAACTTAATAAATTTGACAGTTTCAAAACCTCTGAGTAATGAGCTCTGATATAATAAGTTAGCATTGTTGATTTCTTTACATAAATACAAATTTAATGTAGATGAATTTTTGTACAAATAAACTTTTTGTTAAGTTGTACAAGCTTTTTATTAATAAAAGGGCATGTGGAAATACTGTGATTTAATGACATTACAGAGCTACATTTACAATCCCATTTACATTACCTCACATAAGTCAAAAATCATGAAATGGTATTTATGGAAATGTCTTTTCTCATCTATTATCCTAAAATTCAACTATTTATTTTAAATCGCGTTTGATTTAATGATTGGTCTTACCAAAAGAAGGGAAATGTAAACAAAATTGTCACAGACTTTTTGTCTGGATTTGAAGTCTCAAATATTTTGAGGGGGCATTTTTCTCTGTTTATTTAATAGTACTAAGTAAAGTGTGACAGAAAATATCAGGATGTGTTGGAATTATATAGTCCGCATATCAGATGTCTAGGCCACTAGGGTGTCAAACTCTGAATAAATTCTAGTAAAGGAGAAGCTGGTTTTGTGGAGTCAAAATATAAGTTTATTCTTACAGAGAGGAGAGGACCATAAACAGCCAGTATAATTCAATGTCACTGATTAGGTCAAAGCCAAAAATTGAACCCTACATTCAGAAGCTGGTTGACCTTTTAATCTGAATGATGAACCACAAACCACATGCCTACGCAATTCTAGTTCCCTATGAACAGTATAAAAATCAACCAAATCCTTCTGTCAAACCCTCTCCGACAGAAGTGACGAAATTACACATCATGAGCATGGTGAGTATGAAGCATGACAATATTCTGTGACAGAGAATAGTAGATAAAAATAATATTTTGTGTGTTTTTAACGTTTTATGTAAATTGTCAAGCAGTCAAACTGTAAATTGATATAGGATAAATACCCTACATTTTTGTTGGTTTTTATTTTATTGGAAATTGCTTGATTTATTTAATAGAAAATTGACTAAAACTTTATCACTCTGATCTTGGACTTTCTTGTTGTCTTAAATCTGATGCCAGCACTGTCGATTTGTAGAGAATAAATTATTTTTTTCAGTAGATCAAGATAGAAATATTTAGGTCTCTAGTGGACACTGAACAGTAATTATGGGAGGTAAATTTCAGGTCAAGTCAAAAAAAATAAAAAATAAAAAGTCATTATTAGTCTGTGATACAACCTCAAAATACAGCTGAAGTGCACTCAATCTGCATGTATATTGTAAAAAGCTGTAAACAGTGGCATATCAATTGTAGGACAAGTGCTGTTTGCTGCAGGTAGGGCGATAATCACTTACAATTGTCAACAATTTCCAATTAAATATGAAATAGTAGACACTTTTCTAATTCACTTAATTATTATTTGCATCACACAGCTGTGATTCACCCAAAAAATAAGTTTAAACTTCAATATTGGGGTCATGGTATCATCACTGTTCTCCTCTGTATCATTCTAATATCACTGTGATATCCCTTTTATTATTATTTTATTTTTTTTATCATTATTATTATTATTATTATTATTATTATTATTACTATTATTATTTTGTTGTGACATTAGTATTGTATTGTATGTATTTGTTCTTTGGGCTATCATAATCACTAGCCCATCCAACAAGCTGTAGTAAAGGTAATAGTAGTAACAGTAGTAGCAGTCATAGTTGTATTAAAACACAGAGAACAGTAATCACGGTCCTCTCCTCAGCTCCCCTTACCGGCTCTGTTCCTGCTCTCCGGTGTCCTCTACAGTGCTTCGGCGGTGGACCCAGTTCCGACCTACGAGCGCGAAGACCCGCTCACCGGGGACACCCTGATCTGTGAAAAGTGTCCACCCGGCTTTCATCTAGTCGCGCACTGCACGGCCACCACGCCCACCCAATGCGCGCCGTGCAAAGGCGAGCAGTTCACCGAGTTCTGGAACTACCTGCCCAGGTGTCTGTACTGCAGCAACTTCTGCTTTGACAACCAGGAGGTACAGAAGGAGTGCTCAGCGGTCAACAACAGGGTCTGCCGGTGCAAAGAGGGGTTCTACTATGCCAATGACTTCTGCGTTGAACACACACAGTGCGGGCCAGGACACGGTGTTCTAACCAGAGGTATTTATCTTTCATCTTTAGAAACACAGAAATATAATAAACAAAGCATCAGTCGCTCAATATTTTACAAAAGTAGCATCTTTGACACAACTGTATTTAGAGTTAATGTGGAAGTCCAACAAGTGCATGGAAAAAAAAAAAACAACACCTTTGCTCTCCGAAGCCACCGCTGTATGTAAAAGCATTGTAATGACCCCAGCTGCATTGTTGTTTTCTACAGGTACATCAGAAACGAACACTCTTTGTGTAAGTTGTGCCCAGGGTTTCTTCTCCAGCTCATCATCTGCGCTTGATTCGTGCGTAATCCATCAGGAATGCGCGAACGGACAGATTGTGCTCCTCCCCGGTTCAGTTTACCACGACACAGTGTGTGGCACCTGCACAGATCTTGCCAATGGAGGTGAGTACAGTTGATTTTAACTGCCCAATACTCAATTAGAACATCTATGACATGAATTTTCGGATTGTGGGACCAAGTTTAGATTTCAACTACCTACAACTTCCTTCCTCAGGTGAGACTTCCAGGACATTCCTCTCAGCATTCTTCAGTAATCACAGGATGCGCGTGTCGAAAATGAAGAAATTTGTGGCCAGGTGAGTTTATATGCTGTCTAAATTACTTTAGCTCTCCTCCTACATCTTCTTTGTGCCTCTTTTCAACTAGGGGATAACGGAGTTGGTCGTCACACTTTTTACTTACTTTGCTTTGAATACTTCAAAAACTGTATCCTCAATAGATTTCAGTGTGTAATGTAATCCTAAAGTGTCAGTTAGGAATGGACTGACCTTACTCCCCTTAAGCTTATTCTGGTCAGAAGATATGGACTGTCAAATATGTTGATTAAAAACAGTCCCATGGTGGGGATGCTAGTCACAGCTATAAGGTTGGTCCCATTGATATTTTAATGGAGAACAATTAAAAATGGAGGCATTCTAAAGTTTAATTTAAAATCACCCATTGTGTAAAAGCCTAGAAGAGAAACACAGAAGAGCTGGATATTTTCATTTTGATATAAGAAATAAATAAAAGTCCTCTTGCCTCAATATCACGTGTCTTACTCCTGAAAAGACCCTGTTGGTGACCTCTGACCCCAATTCTGAAATTTTCAGTACCCACTTTTTTTAACAGCGCCCTCAAGGGAGCGAGATCTAATAAATGTGACAACCAACCCTGTACTCCTCTACTCTCTTCACCTATTCATTCACCTAATACAGTAGACAGGAATAAAAGCATTCTCTCCCTCCAACAGGTACATTCATAAGTCAGGGGGGGAGAGGCGCATCAGGGGAACGGTTCTCCCCAGACAGAGAGGTCCTCTCCTGGATCAAATCAAAGCATGGCTGGCAGAGAGTCCAGACGTGCAGCTGAAAAAACTGCCAGCGATGCTGAGGGCCACACAGCTCAGCTCCATGGCAGAAAAACTGGAGAGGAGACTCAATGAGATTAAGCAACATAACTGTGCAGCAGTTGAACAGTAATGTACGCTGACAGATTGGTAGATACAGTATAGAATTATATATACCTCTTTCTCTTATTTACCCATTTGAAAACAAATATCTAAAAGATGAAAGGCTGTGATGAAAAACATGTTGAAAAATACTGTACTGCCATCAATGTTATTTGTGTATCTTTAATTGGAGTCAGACTATAACTGTGCTTCAGATTGATAAAGAGGAAAAATGACTAAAAGCAGCCTACAAATTTGGAAGAACCTTCAAGTAAATGTAAAAAATGCCAATATTGTTGGATGACTCAAGTGTCATGGAGACATATATGTGTCATACAAAAGGGAGCTAAAACTAAATGTTATCATTGAAATGTATGATGTTCTGTAAAAACTCTGATATTGAACTGGAAACTTTAACCTGTTATGCGCGGCAGCTAAATAAAGTACATGTTGAAATCTAAAATGGCTGTAACCATCTCAAGCAAGATAACCACTGTCAGCCTGCGGGGTGTAATTTAACCAAATAACCACAAGGTGTCGCCATCTTCCTCTTTTAACTCTGGTCATTGGAGAATAATACTGACATGTTTACACACCCTATCAGAGAGTGAGTTATTGAAACCTATTTATTCATTCTTTCTACAGAATAAAAATTATCTCATTGGCTTACTCAGTATGGACCATTACACCACATAATGGTCCAAATGCAATGTTAAAGTGACCCGAAAGAATTTGCTTATTGTGTTGTGTTAAAATATTAAAAAAGTTAGAAAATGTGTATTTTTGTCAAAGTGTCATACTTTATTGTAATGACAACACTTATTCTAAAAAAAATGTTTTGAAATTGCATAACTGCATTGTAATAATATTTCCAATAATTCTTTCTGAGATGTGCATTTATTTCTAATCTCCCATTGTTACAATGCATAATTATTCCCATTATTTCTACAGGTACACTTTCTGGTATTCATTTTCTATTATATTTTTAATAGCCTATAAAATAGTAGCTAGCCTATATAACACCAGTTCTGTCTCTAACATTCCCATAATGTTCCCACAGGGATTTAGAGTGTATAGGCGTGATTTCACAGAGATCTTCTTATAGGCTGGTTATAGTAAGGCCTAATATCCTATGTTATATCTGTATAATCCATCGGGAGGACAGCCTGCTCCTGTGCTGCAATACGAGTACGGGATTGGGACCGATGGGAATCCCTCAGGACCGCTAGAGGTCCCTGGTCCCCAGCTTGAGAACCGCTAGTGCAGCCCTGCTCATTAATATCGGTCTGACACTACCACCAACGCCCCCTCCTGCCACGCCACAGCTCCCCGGCATCGCATCGGCTCCCTGGCTGTCGCATCACCGAGCGGGGAGGGGCCCCGGTTCCCACTATTGGCTGCCACTGTATTACCGACAGCTTTACGGTAGGGCCACAGCCGGAGAGGATGTGCGCGAGCGGTGGTCTTTTCATCTCCATGAAGCGCAGAATCTGCTGGCGTTCAACATGATTTTAAGAAGACTATAGTGGGCTTTTTCTTTCTCTTTCTTCAGCACGCAACCCTTCTGGACCCCGCGCTGTTTAAACCCGAAAAGAGATGCGCGCAGATCTCCGCGGATACATTGTCCGGACACCGCGAGAGGAGGAGAGGAGCATGTAACCGGGAGAAACGCACCGGCAGCGGCGGCGGCGGCACCACCTGACACCTCTCTCTCTCTCTCTCTCTCTCTCTCTCTCTCTCTCTCTCTCCTTGTTTTCCTCATAATTTGAGGCTTCTTGATGCGTTGACTGAACTCTTCTCGTCGCTTTGGATATTACCTTCAACAAAATGAGCGAGGAAGTGTCAGAGGTCCCCAAAGAGCTTCTGGGTAAGAGCAGACACGGATCATTTGTAGCCATGTGTCCATGCTGGAACAATCACTGATACTGCCTCTATCATAGCCCCATGCGCCCCTGCACAGTCTGTAGTGCCCTTATTGACCTGATACAATTAAATATAATCCATACATACTATACAGACATACTTGTTTTGAGACACAATAGCAATGCTATTACTATCTCCTGCATATATATATATATATATATATATATATATATATATATATATATATCCAATACCATATCCAACCCATAACCCCAAAGGGCCATTTTCTTGTTACACTCTTGTGATATTACATATTATATATACAGTGGGGTTATTATCAAGCATTTCAAACACATGACTCCATACAGTATAAACTGTACCAGACTTAAATGCTTTAGCTGCAGTAAAACTTGAAGCTGTGTTTACACAAGCACTGCTGTTGTTGATCAAGGTGCCTGTACTGTTAATGTAATGTGGACTACAGTATATATTTGAGAGAAAAGCTAAATAGTTTAGATGTGAGTGTTCACCCAGTCATCCATAACTTAAAAGGATTATTTTCCTCACAGTAACCTTGGTCCACTACCATCTCTACCCTGAGCCTGATAGCCTCAGTCTGCCAGCCCTTTCGCTGCCATGTGTCTTCTGATTTATTTGTACTGATTGTGGACATACCTTAGAGTTCCTGCAGGCTATTTGGCTCAAGCTCAGCCTCTCTTTGTTTGGCAAAGTTGCTCAGTTTTTGACACCTCAGTGCAATGTTGGACAAGCACAAGCTCTTTCTCTCTCTCTCTCTCTCTCTCTCTCTCTCTCTCTCTCTCTCTCTCTCTCTCTCTCCTTTCTTGTGGGCACACACAAGCCTACAATGTTCTTTTGGCTCCTTTTATTTCTTAAAGAGACTTCAATTGCATACTGTACTGTAGATGAGGCTTAAAGGAAAATGCTAGGTCACGTAGTCACTTGGTCAGGCGTGCATTCATTCACTGAGTCACAGAATTTCTCAGCCAGTCAGCCGCTTTGGTCTCATTTATAACCCTGTATCCTCTATCATGCGCTGGTGTCTGTGTTATCTGGCTTGTTATTTGAGCTCTTACAGTAGTTAAGAAGGAACCAAAGCTTTTTCAATTAGATGTGGGAATTTCACTCCTTTTAATGTCAAAGTGTCTGTAGCTTAGTGTCTTCTTTAACCTGTTAACATCTGGTATAAACCTTTTGTTTCCCCTTAAGTTGATTTTAAGGCTGCTAAAATCATATTATTCTATGTCTGACATGGAATAATATGTCTGACAGTGTCTGACAGTACCAGATCCATACATACATATGTTACATTTTGTATCACTGAACATTTTGGGATCTGAATTGGAATTTAAAATGTCTGACCCATCCATGTTGCAGACATCGGTGAGTTCTCTTTCCTCTGAAAAGTGTTTTTGCATGTTAACATCCCTAACCTTTTTTATAGCTATGTGCAGACCATCCAGGTAATCGAGAGGTCCAGGAAACTCAATAACAGTGCTATCAGTTTCTACAAAACCAGTTCCAACAAGATGATTAGCCTGCTGACAGACTGAAAACCTGTTCAAATGAGATGCATTATGTTTTCTCTGACCACAGACCAAGATCTTTTCAGATTTCTTATGGTCCAGCTTCCACTCAAGCTCAGAGTCAGCGAGTTCTCCATCTTCACCCTCTTTGTTCAAGACTTTTCAGGATTGTCGCAGACTAACTTGCCTAACACTCAACACAAGGAATTTGGTTTGTCATGATCCTATTGTCATGTGGTGTTGTCTGGATGAGTGCATAACCAGCCATTGTTGGAAACATTCACTGGTCCGTGTGACTCAGCATCATACGAGATCACTCTTAGCATCCAGCACACAAGACATTTCAGCATGATGCAGCAGATGGAAACACCATAGATAAAATATAGCTTTTCAAAAATGGACACAACAATATTTTGAATAATGTTTTGTATGCTGTCTGGGAAACTTTTAAGTAATAAGGCAAAGAAACAGGCAGTTCAAACTGTATCTTAGTGTTGTTGTGTCAAAACAGAGGTGGGGGGCAAAGCAAAGCACATTTGACTCAATGAATGAACAATTTGGTCTTCATCTCTGTGATTCCGTCATTGAACTTGCTCAGAACAACCAAACAAGCAGATAGTTGGTGTTAAATATAAGAACCTATTGTGTTTTCTATCAATGTTTTTACATTGTTTCTTGATTCCTTTGCATACAGTCAGAGACATGTTGATAGACACATAAAACAACTTCCCAGTATACTTTTTTCTGGTTTATATCCGCCCCTGTTTGTTCATACTTATCCAAACAACTTAGAAATAACACGAGATATGATATTGTGTTATTTTTATGATCTTAAACACCTCCAAAATGTTTGCTCTCCAAAGTAAAAAAATCTGTGACATCATCAACACAAGCATCTGGATTGGCTGAGGGTCAATAAATGGGAGAGTAATTTTATGGGCTTGTGAATTGTTTGTTTGAGCTTTTACTAGGCCATAGGTCTCATTTCTCCACCTTCTACACGGGTCCCCACTGATGCCTAAAACGAACCACAGCAGCTGGCTAGTAAAATTGCCACTCCTGTCATAGTTCTAATGAATGAGCAGAGAAACGGAATTAGTAAAAAAAAAAAAAAAAAGATATATGAGAGTCTGTCAGGAGCTTTTTCTGTCCGGGACCAAAAACTGCTCAGGCTCATTAAAACATACTAGGTTTCATTTTGTGTTGAAACCCCCTTGAGACATTTCTGTGTCTTATTGGGTGTCTAAAGCCATAGTTTTATAAATACTGCGGGAGGAAATGGTGCACATTTTCAGTGGAGTTTATTCAGCAAGGCTTGCACATCAACCACTTTGCACTTTGCCTAATTATTAGTTTCACTTTGATCTGATGATGGTTTGAGGAAGCCCGTGGGCGAGGAGACATGCATGCCAGCACAGATGTACACGCACAGAATCCCTTTCTGTCTCAGACACATGTGCACAGACTACATCAGTCGCTGTGTGGTGGGTGAATGAGGAGCGTGGAGAGGCGGCTGACCCAGTTCTGCTCTCTGAGCCTGTTCCCTGAGTGGAGGCTACTACTGGGTGTGAACAATCAATCTGAACAACACACTCAGCATTGTAACAAAAGTTTTTTTTCCATTATTGATTCATCTGTTGAGGTAATGTTTTCAAATTGCTTGTTTTTTCCAACTACTAGTGAAAATCCTTAATATATTCACTTTACAATTATAAAAAAGCTAGAGAAAAGCAGCAAATAATTACATTTAAGAATCTGTCAATGTTTGGCATTTTTAGCCATGCTAGAATGGATGGCACTATTGATCTGTCTGTAGGCAGGTCAGTCCAACACTTTGGGCCAGACAAAAACATCTCAACAGCTATTGGACGTACTGGATGGTTGACATTTGTGGTTAAGAATTTTTTGAACTATTGGAGGGATAGAGTGCTGCAGGAATGGGTCCTAAAACGCAATTAGCAGGCTAACAACAGCAATCTACAAAGCTGTTAATTATACAGCATTTTATCAAACATTACAGTGCCATTAACCCTTGTCACTGTCTCTACAGTTGCTGTGCAAATGTATGAACAAAGATAATAATACGCACATCTTCTCTTGACCCACATAGAGATAAATGGAAAGTGAAATGCATTCTGAATGCAAATGTCCCAAATGATTTAATTGATTAGTAACATTTTTGTTTAATTCATTTCCATTCATCTAACTCATCTTTCAGGGCTATTATTGATAAGTTGGTATGTATTGGCATTATTGTTTTGATGAAAGACTTTAGTGCATCCCATGTGCAACCCGGGAAGACTGCCAGACTGAGGACCTGTACACAGTTTGTTCAGTTTATTAGTCTAACTGGCAGTGAATGTGTGTGCATTCACAGTTTTTTGAGTTTCACATCTCACCACAGACAATGTGAAAAGAGCCCAAATCTGAAACAGAGAAATCATTTATGATGAGCAAATTAAATGAAAATAACAAGTGCCTCCTTGGAAGTATTCCCTTGTGGAAGAAATGCACTGATCTGTGCTCTGTTAAGACAGAGCCTTCTAAGTAAAGAGATACTTTTTGTAATGCACGATAAGCCACTTGGCAGCGATTATTTTCGCTTCTCTTTTTTGCACAGATATGTTCCAAATTTGAGTCAGAGTCTCTCCTCATTTTATCTATTTTCTCCTCTTCTCTGTGTAGAGAGTGTAAGGGATGCAGTGGGGAGGAAGGTGAAGCTGTCGCTGAGGAAGAGAGTCAAACTGGAGATCAAAGGAGACAAGACGGAGAACAGAGTCTTGGTGAGTCAACTCCTGCTGCTTTCAAGCTACTTCTTCATTAATGAATTAATCTTTGTCTTTTTGTCCCACATTTCTCTGATCTTGAAATGTACAGTTTTAATTTAAGAATCAAATCAAAACACTTCATGTTTTTTTCTCCTCCTTATCACTTGAAAGACATTCATTATTCCACCCATCACAGTGAGCATCACTTCACTGCATTGTTACTCTGTCTTTTCAAATTCAGTTATACTTTTTTATTTTGTGGTAATTTCCTGCAAATCAAAGTGATTTGACCCTAAGTATCTCCTGTCTCATTCAGTCTGATGACTGTTTGAGTGGGGCCAGCTCAGAGGAGGCAGCATTGTGGTAAAGTTGTAATGGGAAAATATCAAAACTGTTTCCAAAAAGGCTCATTGTGACTGTTAACATACTCCATACACTTGAATCTTTGTTCATTTATAAGCAGGTTTTATAAATGTCAGTATTGTGACTGTAATTTTTCTCTGTTTGTCTCATGATTTATGTTTGATGAATCGGACTCAGATGTGAAAATGAGTCATGGATTCAATAAGTAACACTGCAGGCTCCAACTTTCCCCCCATTTTTATGTGTTTACATTTTGGAAAATTGGCACTATTTAAAACTATGAAGAATCTAACTATTACAGGATTACTCTGATACTGAAGAAAACGTGGTGATTGTCAGGCAAGTTCTGTTGTTATTCTGTAATTTCTAAGCAGATTTATTATCAGTTTTTTATCAGAGATAATGATATCTGTGAAAAGTGTAATTTACACTGAATCTAAAGATGTGCATTTTACGTATGTGTGTTCAGACTTTGCCTTAGTTATTACTTACTACAAATACGGAGTGCGGTTTTGATGCAAATTGCTGCAATTGGGCGGTAAGGGTCTTAAAGTAACTTAATTGTTTGCATGAGCTGTGTGCTTCTTCTGCTGCTGAATGTGTTGATCAGAAGGCAAACTAAAATAAGAACCTCACAGTTTAAAAACGTATTTTTCAGTCGGCCATTTTCAAAGGTCTTTATTCATGCCCAATGAAAAGTCACACTAAAACGGTAAAAGTAGCGGCCAAATATAAACACACTGGCTGTATGCTGAGGTAATTAATTGCAGTCATACCTCTGACTGTGTATCCATATTAGCCCTCATTGTGTCTATTGGCCAGGTGGAAATAGCAGCTCAGACCATTAACCGCAGCCCACGGTAAATCCACTAAATGCTAAATAATTAATACTTGGTAGATCATTAAAAATGCACATTGGCTCTTTCTGGGCTTAAAACAGATAAGAAGCTGATGATAATTAAGACAGAACAGCTACCTCAGTAAATTGGTGTCTGAGCAGGGTCCATAAAGTTTGATGTTATCAGAAAGCCTCCAGTTACTGTGAATGAATCTGCACATTGTCTAATATATGTGGATCATGGGTGGCAATGGCTGAGCCATTTAGTTAGTTTTCAGTTATACAGCTTTGTGTGGAATAGACAAAAGAAATTGGGTAGAAGAGAAAGTTTTAAAAGCTCTGTGAATAGACCCGCACAACCAAGTTGGTGTGCTTCAGGATGTGATATTGCATGACATTTACAGAACTCAGTCAGACCCCCTGAGCTCATTTGACTTAAATACATTTGTGGTTCCTGCAGGAACTTGAATATGTCATCAAGGGACATAAGCCGAGAGAGAGGTGAAAGACAGAAAAGATGAGTTTTACCTTCACATCTCTTGTACTTGCTAAATGATCTGGGAGCATGCTGAGGTGTGAAGCAGCAGGAGAGAGCGAGTTACTATGCGAGAAAATTACACTTGTCAGTTTACGTAATGTGATTATTAATTGGAGACACATCATTACTGCTGCAATCTGGAGTTATGACTGTTATATGAGCAAGGAAAATATACAGAAATATTCCTTTAAAGCTCTATGTGATGATTTTTTCATAGTGAAATATTGACTTCTAATATTTACCAGTGTTCTAGTTAAATCCAATAAATCATTAATCATAAAACAAAGGTACATTTCAGTATTTGATTTATATTTTATTATTCCTGACATCTCCCTCTGTTTAAGAAATTTGGCAACCCTAACCCTAAAGCAGCATGAGCCTCCTAAAGCCTTACAAATAAACTTAAACAGTAAAGTAAACAGACCTGGATTAGCAATTGTAGCTAACTGCACAGGGAAATACTTCTGGGAAACTTGCTAGTATGTGTATATATGAACCCATAGTCAGGACGGCCACAATTATGAGAATACGTTTTAAAAAAAAGAAAACTGTGATGTTACGTGAATACTGTTATGCAGTGTCCTTGATCGTACACTAGTGCATAAGTGTCGAATAGGATTTGATTTGTTTTTTGTTGAACAATGTTTTTACTATTCAGCATTTGCTTCTACCCAATGATCTGCAATCGCAGGACAGCACACCGACTGTAATTGTTTAATAATGTATGGCCTATAATTCTTAATGCTAGTTTTAGTGCAGTTTTTGAAGCTGAAAGCAATTTTTCTATAATGAAATCTAGTCCAGTCAGGTGCTCAGTTCGGGGTTAACTCTCTTCACGTGGTTGTGACAACAATGTCACCATGTGGGTGCTGGAAACGGGCTGGTAGTGCGCACATACACACAAAACAATGCAAAGAAGTGGGAGTCAGCACAGGGAAGTGAGGAATTCCAGTGGAGTGGTTCTGGTATTTCATCCAGACGCAGAGCATGAGAATGACTCGGTGAGTTTGTATAAATGTTCTGCTTGACCGGACTGAACAAATAAACCACTGTTTGTTGTTCTGCAGAAAAACAGAGTTTGAGAAACTGATTATGCAGCAAGTGGCTCAGAGAGAACACAAACATGTCGTGGAGTTGTAGCTTGAGACTGTTACGGTATCTAATGTTAGACATGATGAAAGAACAATATAGTTTCAGATTGTTAGCGTTGTGTTGTAAGTGAGCCACAGTCTCAAGTGTTTCTGAGAAGCGTACAAGCGTAATGCAGCAAAATGTTAGAAGAACATTCAGCCAATTTTATATATGAAGATCACTTTACTGTGAAAACACATGTATAATGTCTTCTCTTTCTCTGGATGGATAAGCTTTTTGAATTAAAATAATAACTGACTCAGAGTTACACTAACACTAACTCTGGAATTTATTTATTTAACACGGACAGTACTCATTAATACATATTGCTGAAAATGTGTCATAATTAGTTTTTTCTTTTTAAATCTGTAGTCCCTGGACAGATGTTACATCCTAAAACAACATGTAAATTTAAAATTATATATCACGGATATATTACATAAAAGACACTGCACATGTTTGTTTTTTATTTTCTGCCCTAGAATTGACTTAACTGTGCCTGTGCAAAACTAATAAAAAGATCATTACAAAATGACAAAATGTATGCACAGAATATAAATCACACTGGAATAAAGATCAGTAGGTAATACAATCTCTTTGAAATGGTAAACAAAGATAGAACAACAAGCCATAAAATAACATAACATGACAAAACTGTGATCATGCAGGTAATAAACTTGTAGAGTCAGCGGGTGTAATACAGTAAAAGTGTGTGTTTGGTTATACAATATGTTTGAGCAGAGGACTAAAAAAGGAGGGCAAAATGTGTGTCAAATCTTTATTAACAGATAAAGATGTAGAGCAAATTTAAGCAGTGTAAGCAGTACTGTTGTCTGAGTAATCGAGTTAATCTGTGACTAATAGGAGATAAAAAGTGACTAATTGAATTGACTGACTTATAATGCTACCTACTTCCTGTGGCTGAGAGTGTAACACACACCTGTGGGTGTGGCATTCAATCTGTGAACTTCAGACCATATTAACACAACAGAGTTGTTTGTTCACACTGTACATACACTGTATGTCCCTCCTGTTGACCAAAAAATCCACTGAGGTTGTATTTGTCACACAACTGAACACATTCATGGTTTTGAATAAGTTGTCTGACATTAAGTCTCCCTGAGAATCTGTGTAAACCACTATACAATAAATAGTGAGCCTCATACAAGAGCTGTATGACAGTATGCCCTTGTCAAAATGGTATTTTCAAGAATAAATCACATCATATGTCAAACTCATACCCCATCTATCTCCCACTGTGACTTACAGTCCACATATGATGTTTTTCGTTGACATTTATTGAACTTCCCTTGTCAGATTACTGCAGCCACATACAGTAGAGAACTTGATTTATTTCAGACCATGCAGGCCATCCATCTACAGAGTAAAGTACACAAATAATGAAGGGAGGAATATGGTTATTTCCACTATCAATTTGCTTGTCGGTCAAATAAACACAAGGCTTTTCCTCTTTTTTCTGCCATGCTTTTCTCAGACTGAGAGTGGAGCACTAGAGTGCCTGCGGCATCTCTTAAGCACACTAAAGCCTGATAGATACAGTCATCTCCCTCCTTTGAAGACGGGGGGATGAAGGAGGTAGAGATAATAACATCAGTCCATCAAACACACCCTGGGGAAGAAGAGAGGAAAATGGGTAATGAGACATACTGTACAGGGCAGAGGGGATAGAAGAAGGAAAAATAGAAGAATCAGAAAGAAAAACAGCTGTGAAACTCCTACAGAGACAGAGTGACAGACAGATACAATCAGTGACACAGTGTAAATCTGAAAAGAACAGAGACAACCCAGCACACATATTGTCACTGAAAAGAACACAACGTAGTAATGTCAATAGATTACTAATGGCATTGCTTTGTAAAATGAAGTACGAGTTCAAAACAATATCCACACTTGTAAGTAATGTTTGGCCTGTTAATGACTCCACCACTTTGGTCCACATTGAAATATCTGGAGGGAATACCATAAACATTTAAACAGACATCCACAGTCCTCGATGGATGAATCCTATACTGACTGGCTGATCCCCAGACGTTTCTCTAGTGCCTCCAAGAAGTTCACATTTTTGGATTTATTCAAAATGTCTCAACAAATATTGGATGGATTTCCGTGAAATTTGGTTCAGAT